TCTCTCTCTCTCTCTCTCTCTCTCTCTCTCTCTCTCTCTCTCTCTCTCTCTCTCTCTCTCTCTCTCTCTCTCTCTGTGTGCCACACACACATACATACCTGCTCGCATACACGCATCCGCTCACAAACACAAAAAACACATACACATGTGCTGTACGTACGGGCACATGCACAAAAACAAACACATTCGTCAATCTGTGCCTGCTTGGTCTGAAACTTCTGTGGTTTGAGGAGACACCTTTGACCCTCCAGTCTAGAGACGGAGGTGTTTCCTATCGTCTGTGTCTTTCGCTCTGTCTTTTGGTGTTGCTTGTTCGCTTCAATGATCCTTGTGTGAGAGAGAGAGAGTATGGATCTTTGTGAGATAGAGAGAAAGAGAGAGTATGCCATGCATGGCCATTCAGCCAGGGGATTCGAAATTAGTAGGCAGTGCGGCTTTTCTGCCTGCATCTCTCCGTCTCATGATTAGCAGTCTGCCCAAAATTGAGTGCGGTGTGGAACCCAATCATGTGGATTGTGGTGTAGTTGTTGTGGTTCAGTTAGGTCGATCGACAGCAGCACTAAAAGGCGGCGGGTTCGGTAAAGGTAAATGTGGTGTCCGTCTATCGGCGATGGCCTTGTTGGTAGGCAGAGTGCCTTCTGTATCTGATCGAGTGCACGTGCTTTCTAGGTCAGAAGTTCGAAGTTTCAAACCCCTCACCACTAGGGTGTTAGGAGTTACACTTGCTTTGCTGGGGGATGTTGATTTGTTGTTGTAGTTGTGATGGTACCAAAGACCTATACTTGGTCGTATAGTCGTGAGGGAGTTAGGGTAGAAGTACGCAAGGGTAGGTATGGGTAAATACTCCTATATTCCTATATTCCGAATATACTCCTATACTCCTATACTCCTTGATTCGGAAGGCGATGTATACGTGTACGATGTTTTGTATTTCTAGGAGGGGGGGGTCTGAAATTCTCCCAAGTACTGAATCTTACCTAGCCTGCCTAGCCATTGTCCATGGCTACTGATTATCGATGTGTGCCCAAGACAGGACGAATAGGAACGCTGAATTTTGGGCGGTCTCAAATTCTGCTCTGCTAGTAGTGAATGCATACGTCTACAAAAGGTAGAGTCAAAAACTTCATATGTGCTCTAGGGAAGAAGATAGACGGTCATTTCTGGCAATGCTGAGGCCAGGCCATCCTGGTTTTGAGCATGGCTCAATGCAGTAAGAAGACCAGATGATGCTAACTGTACAAGTAGTTATCATGTTATGTCCTTCATGGGTGACGGAGGTTATGGGTCTTGCCCTTTGTTGTCCTGTGTAAATTAGAACAGCTACAACCTACCGCCTTTGCCCGAATAGAATGCCCTGTTATTATCACTGAATCTGGCGGAAAGCTGCCTTGAGTACAGCTATAATGACCGGGTGTTCTAGTGGGGTGAAGACGGAACTTAGGGGTCTGGCCCTTCGTTGTCTTGTCGCAATTAGAAAAGCAGCTACACATTACCGTCTTCACCCGAATAGAACGCCCTGTTATTATCGCCGCATCTGGACGGAGAGCTGCCCTAAATACAGCTATAAAGACTGGGTGTTCTATTCGGGTGAAGACGGAACTTACAGGTCTTGCCCTTTGCTGTGTTGTGGCAAATAGAACAGACCAGCGTCTTCACCCGAAGAGAATGCCCTGTTATTATTTGCGTATCTAGATGGAAAGATGGTCTCAATACGGCTATAATGACTGGCTGTTCTATTTGCGTGAAGACAGTAGCACCTGTTAGCTGGCAAGGCACGTGTCCAGCGGTAGAGTTCATGTTGATCTTGTCAGAGCCTGCTGGATGCTCACAGGTTTGTGTAGATTCCATCAGGATTCAAACTCAGGTCTGTCCCCATTATGAGCTCCACTAATACTGGAGGCAGCAACCGGACAATCACAATGGACCAGGCGCATTGAATTTCGGTGATTGTCTGGTCGCTGAGGCAGCACTTCTTTGTGAGATGGAGTGACAGAGCAAGCCTGGCATATGATAGACAGAGGCCAGAACATGATCCTTCTTTCAGGTTGTCAATGACTCGATGTGTAGATAGTGCGGTTCAGTCGGGAGCAACAACTCGATGTGTAGATAGTGTGGTTCGGTCAGGAGGGAGCAAAGCAAGTGGGTCGGAGTCCGTACTCAGGAGGGAGCAAAGCAAGTGGGTCGGAGTCCGTGTTGATCCTCATAAGCAGACAAAGTCGTGTAGGTCTCGCTGCCGATCTGATGTCTGTGTGCTAGTGGTCACTGAGGTAGCAAGTGTGAACTGATTTCTGATGATTTTTTTCTCTTAGGGCTAGCGGTGTTCGTATTGGTTGTGAGTTGAAGTGCAAGTCAGAGCGGGGTACAGCGGTGCTGTCCCGTTATGCTCGTCTTCATTTCTCAATCAAGTGCTGCGGTATCAGTTGAAGCATGGTGTCGGAGCTCGGTGTACTAGTCCCTTGTGTCTGGTGATAAGGTTGTCGGCGGTGTTCATTCTGCTTGTTGTGAGTTGAAGTGCAAGTCAGAGCGGGGTACAGCAGTGCTGTCCCGTTGTGTGCTTGTCTTCAGTGCTGTCCCGTTATACATGTCTTCATATCTCAATCAAGTGCTGCGATATTAGTTAAGGCATGGTGTCGAACCACGTCTCTTGTTTTCTGGTGATTTCTATATCTTAGGTTCGGCAGTGTTCATGTTGGTTGCGACGTTAAGTGTAAGTCAGAGCGGGGTACAGCCGTGCTGTCCCGTTATGCAACTAGTTTCATGTTTTCTGGTGATTTCTATCTTAGGGTCGAACGGGGTACAGCCGTGCTGTCCCGTTATGCTAGTAGTTTCTTGGTTTCTGGTGATTTCTATCTTTCAGGGTCGGCAGTGTGCATGCTTGTTGGGAGTTGGAAGTGCAAGTCGGAGCGGGGTACAGCAGTGCTGTCCCGTTATGCTTGTCTTCATTTCTCAATCAAGTGTCGCAGTATTAGTTGTGGCATTGTGTCGAACCACAGTGTACTAGTCCCTTGTTTCCCGTTGATTTCTACCTCAGCGTCGCCGGCTTACACTGGTTGTGAGCTGAAATTGTGCGAGTCAGAGCGGGGTACAGCAGTGTTGTGCTGACATGCTTGCTTGTAAACGAGCGCAAGTAACACACGCATCATCTCTGTCCAGTTGTCACATTCAGGCAATCAGAAGAAGTGTGTGTAACGAGAGCTCGATGTGAATGTAGACATATTCACAAAGTGAGAACTAGCTGGACAGGAAGGCACTCGGGGATCCGTAGTGGAGATGTATATCCCATCAGGATTCGAACCCGTCATCTACTGGAAGAGGCGATTCGTTTCCAGCTGCAAGATTTCCGTTCAGAAATTAAAAAAAGCCTCTTTCATCCTCAAGTCGAGAAGACGGTTGTCCTCCTCAAGTCGACCAGACGGTTGACGATTCGATTGTCAGCAGCTCGGTGCCCCGTTTGAATGAAGCCCTGATATCTATATCTGAGTCTGATAAGTAGGTGCTGCCATCTACTGAAAGAGGACGTTCATCTCCAGCTGCAAGATTCCCGTTCCGGAAGATGGAACAGACAGCTGTGTGTGTGTGTGTGTGTGTGTGTGTGTGTGTGTGTGTGTGTGTGTGTGTGATGCGGTGGTAGTGTGATGTGAACACATCCCATGGGGATCCATGCTTAGCTACCATAGTCACTCTGCTAGCTATTGTACCACTCCAAGATCTCCCACCTGCATTCGTGGTCGCACACTTCACCGCAACACGCCCGCCTCGCTACTCCAGGTAATTGGCGGTGTCGGTCTTCTTAGGTTCTATACTATCTAGGCGATTTCCGGTTTCACACCAGGCTGAGGCGGTGGTGTCGCACCCTCAGCCTGCTCACACAGCAGTGTAACGTGCGCCCCTGTCAGGATGGGATGTGTGCTCTTGAGGCGGGGATTTGTTCGAGTTCGGTCTTTCTTCATAGAAAGGTTCGAGGAAGGTTCAGATTGGCAGCAACCCGTTCCGCACCAGGCTGGGATGTGATCTTGCTTGCAATTCCGACAGCCAGTCAGTCCACCACTTCCTCCCCCTACTCTTGTCACTCTCTCTCTGCTGGCTTCGGCCTAGTCGGGCCACAGGCGAGTGTGAGTTTTGTAATGGATCGGTTTCATTGTTTTCACGCTCGCGGGAGATCTGATCCGGCCTCGCCAGTTGGGAGTTGTGCGCTTCTACTGTTGACGTCAGTTTAGTGAACTCTGCATTTGGCAGTCGCTGGACATCTGATCTGGCCGCGCCAGTTGCGGGTTGTACTGTTGACGTCAGTTTAGTGAACGCTGCATTTGGCACTCGCTGGAGATCTGATCTGGCCGCACCATTGTGAATTGTGCGCGTTCTACTGTCGATGTCAGTTTTTTAGTGAATGCTTCATTTGGCGACTGGCTCTTCGTATGAGGCCTGTGATTAGTCCGCGTAATTCGAAGTGTTCGTTCTGATTCGTCCCCTGTTGTTCAGGTCTCGATTGATGGATAGGTTTACGTTGTGCTCGTTCCAGTCGGTCTTCTGTTTGTTTGTGACCTCTTGCCCTTTCAGCGGGCTTGTTCTCGAGCCTGCTGTTGCTCCTTTGTTTCCTCCCTTTGAGCCTTTGAGGGAATTAAAACTGTGTAGCAGCTGTGTTTACAAGGCCTGTGATGTAGTGACTGTAGTCCGCGCAATTGTAAGTGTTCGTTCCGATCAGTCCCCTGTTCAGGTCTCGATTGACAGATAGATTTATGTTCTGCTCGT